GCCCGCACCGTCACGTTGTACTCCGACGCCTTCTCTCTGTCTAGCAGGCCTGCAGTCACCACGCGGTAGTAATTATCGAATGACTTCTCAAGGTGGAACGGCAGGGTCTCGGTGATGCTGCACCGCACTTCGCCATTGGCCCCGGTGTCCCTGTCTTGGACACTGAAAATAGCGATGACTGTCCCCAGAGGTGTATCTTCTGGAACTGCGCTGAACACGGACATAACGACAATCTCAGGGGCGTAGTTGTTGACGTCAGCAACCTTGATAAGTACCTTGCTGTGGGAAGAGAGTCCACCCGCATCTCGAGCTTGCACAACGAATTCGTAAAACTCGTGTTCTTCGAAATTCAGCTTCTCTGTTATCTCAATTTCCCCGCTTTCTGCATCCAGTTTAAAAGTTTTTTCGAATTTCTCCGGTATTTTGAAGAACGAGTACTTCACCTCGGCGTTTGGCCCCTCATCTCTGTCAGTTGCTGTCACCTGTAACACACGACTTCCCACGGCCACGTCTTCTCTCACAGTCACCTTATACACAGACTGAGTAAATTCTGGAGCATTGTCATTTCCATCTAAAACAATTATTTGGATTGCTGTCGATCCTGATTTCACCGGACTCCCACTGTCTGTGGCTGTCAGGATCAAGTTATGAACAGCCTGTTCTTCCCGATCCAAAGATTTCACTAATATTAATTCCGGGTATTTGACACCGTCATCTCCGTTTTTCACATCCAAGCTGAAGTAATTACTCTGGCTACATTTGTAATTCTGTAAAGAGTTCACTCCTATATCGGGATCGTGAGCTTTTTCTAACGGGAAACGTGCACCTGGTGCAGTATACTCGCTGATTTCTAAGATACTGCTGCTTTCTGGGAAATTGGGAGAATTATCGTTAATATCCAGTATTTCTACCTCCCCTTTGTAAATGTTCATCGGATGCTTTACAAGGATTTCAAAATTTAGAATACATTTGACAACAGCTGCACATACCTCCTCTCTGTCCACCTTTTCCATCATAGATAAGTGGCCGTTCTGCAAGT